ATACCTGATTTTTTTTTTTCCTTTTTTGAGACGGAGTCTCACTCTGTCACTGAGGCTGGTGTGCGGTTTCACAATCTCGGCTCACTGTAATCTCTGCCTCCCAGGTTCAAGCGATTCTCTTACCTCAGCCTTCTGAGTAGCTGGGGCCACATGCACATGCCACTTGCCTAATTTTTGTATTTTTAGTAGAGACAGATGGGGTTTCACTATGTTGGCCAGGCTGATCTTGAACTCCTGACCTTAGGTGTTCCACCCACCTCAGCCTCCCAAAGTGCTGGGATTACAGGCGGAAGCCACCACACCCAACCATACCTGATCTTATAATAACATTGTAAATATCCCTTTACCTAAATCCTACCCATATTTAATGGGTCATTTTCACTTATTTATCTCTCCCTGATCTGTCAGGGAAAACAAAACTCAAGAAGAGTGCCTAGATCTCTCATGATCTGTTCTAGAACACATCATATCTATATCTATAGATATATATTTCTCTTAAAATTTCACATGTTTAAGTCTCAATATTCCAGAAAAGTTTTGAGCAGACCCTTTGTCACATATACATATCTTGGGGTCTTCTGGGGATCCTAAATTAGAGGTGGCAGTGGAATAAATGAGGGCTATAGAAACATATGTTGATGAGCACTGATCCTGAAAACTCTTTCCAGACTGTTAGATAACTAACTTTTGTCAACCAGGCCCCATTGTTCTCATGACAGCCCTGGAACTTCCTGATGTGCCCAGAGTCATCATGGAAGATGGCATTAAAAATAGATGTGTTTGTCCTAAGACAGATTCATGTCTTTACTACAGTCCCTGAGATAGGCTCTTGCTGGGAGGCTTAGAGTCATATCAGAAAGGCCAGGAAGGCTGGAGTGCAGTCAACTGGGGGAAGGATAGTGGAAGATGAGGTCAGACAGTTACCAGGAACCAAGCCACCACGGGCTTGGGATCAGATTCTAAGTGGTTGAAAGCTGTTGGAAGACTAAGCAGAGGAGTGATATGATCAAACTTAGATTTTGGAAATCTCAGGTTCTGTTCCCCCTGCTCCTTCTCAGCCCTCTCTGACTCTGGCTGCCCATGGTGGGTAGCAGCCACTTCACCCCATATCCCCAACCTTTGCATTCTTCTCCCCATGCTGCAGGGGTCTGTCAGGCACAAAAGCGACTCTCAGTGGGTACAATCAGTCCCTGTAAAACTGTGATGTTAACCCAGTGTGTTTTCTATCTCATGTGTGGTTTGTCTGTGGATTGTTGTTGTTGTTGTTGTTGTTAGCATTTACTGATCCCCTTCAAATATATGGGGTCCTTGAACAGTTGTAGATGATGTCCTTTAGAAAGGGAAGCTCTCGATAAAGTCATGTACGCTACGTTATTGGCGACAACATGGATAGCCAACTGCGTAGATGGAGGAAAGAATGCGGTGTTCGGGTTTTAACAGAGGATGGCTGAAAAGGTCAGAGAGGAGTACAAAGAAATGTATCTTATAAGAACAAATTCCAAGCAGCAGTGGGGTGAGGAGACGCAGGTCTACCTCTGCTGTGGTGGAAAGGTGAGGGTGGCCATGGACTCTGCACATGAGGCTGCCGTGTACCAGGAAGGTGGACGATGGCCAGACCTCCCCACCAGGACCCACAGAGGCTTCTGCATCTCCACTCTCCGCACTCAATAACCCAGTGGCCTGGCAGTCTCTCACCTTCAGCACACTGGCAGGGACAACATTCTTCAGAGGTGAAAGTACAGTTTAATTTCTGGGCTCACCCAGGCATGGACTGGGCTGCATAGGACCCGATAATGAAATATTGGTGGTGTATATTTGATAATGTGCCAAGCATGTCTGCCATGCAGCTTGGACGGGGTGAATGCATTCCTATGGGGGTCTGCACCCCTGTCTGCCTGGAGGTGGGGAGAGTTCAGAAAAGCCAGGACTTGGTTGCTTGCATTCTTCATGTCTGCTTAGCAGTGAGAGACCTTCACCCCTCTCCACCCCTCCTCTCTGAACAAATGCGAAGGGAGCACGAGGAGAGAACACAAGAGCCAAAAAGAACCGCTTCTTCCCGCATTTTCCCTGCTCTAAACTGAGATCCTACAGAGAATGGTATTTCTCTCACTGCAGTTTCCCGGTGACAATGGGGTCAAAGAAAGCATTTTTCAAAAAGAGCTTCTTTTCTCAATTTATGGCAGAGCATCCAGTAGCAAGCAGGAAAATGAAATAGGTCTCTGTTATCTCTCCCCCAAAAAGAGACAGCCCGTACAAGGGAAGGAGATAATTCCCATCTGGCTTTTACATGTCTCATAAAATGCACTGTGCAGGCATGTAAAATATACGGGACTGGGCAGACATACGAGGCAGAGAAAGGTACAACCCTGGCTACTTGTGCTTGTTGGGCTGGCAGACAGCAAAGTGGAGGGATTTTTTAAAATTGTCCTTTTTGTGAGAACAAGGATGATGGCAACAGAGAAGCCTGCACGTGTAGCACTTGCTTGGACATTTCATGGTAGTTGAGCACATGGGTGTGAAGAGTAGTAGTAATAATAATATGGAGAAATACGCTGGGCATGGTGGCTCACGTCTGTAATCCAGTACTTTGGGAAGCTGAGGTGGGTGGATCACCTGAGGTCAGGAGTTCGAGACCAGCCTGGCCAACATGGTGAAATCCCGTTTCTACTAAAAATACAAGAAAAAAAAATCAGCCAGGCATGGGAGCGGGTGCCTGTAATTCCAGCTACTAGGTTGAGGCAGAAGAGTCACTTGAACCTGGGAGGCAGAGGCTGTAGTAAGCCGAGATCACACCACTGCACTCCAGCCTGGGCAACGAGAGCGAAACTCCATCTCTAAATAAATAAATAAATAAATAAATAAAAAGGAGAAATAGTCATATTAAAAATGCTGCTTTTTTCACTTTGTGGATCCATGACTGGGCTTTCGGCTTGCTGGGATCCAGCTTCCAATGTGGGTGAGGGTACGGGAGATGGGGTCACGTCTCCCTTAGAGTCTTGTAGTGTTTGGTCTGTCTGGCTGCGTATCTCCTCACAATATTTAGCCCAAGTCACGTATGCTAATTTGCATATGCACACACACATGTATAGTGTCATCCCAGCCCCAGCCCTCCAAAACTTGCTGTGAGTGCTGTTGCTGGAGGTGGCCTCATGAAAATGTATTCCAAGTTCACAGCCTTCTTCTAGGAGGGAGGACTGGGGCATACTGCAGGCACCTGGTCCCTATGTGAGGTACATCGTCCTTAGAAAATCTCCCACCATGTCCTCTACTCTTTGGTCAAAGGGAATTCAGGAAGCTTAAATGGCAACGCATATCAAACTGTTCCTAAGAACTAGCTGTGAAGCAGGTCATGGAATGAGGGTTGGAGGACAGACAGCATCTGTTCTCTGAAGAGAAGACCATTTAGATTTGGGCCTGGAATGTAATCTGTTCTTAGTTCTAAAGTTCAGGAATGCTGGGCACAGTGGCTCAGTTCTATAATCCTAGAACTTTGGGAAGCCAAGCCAGGAGGATTGCTTGAGTCTAGGAGCCTGAGACTAGCGTGAGCAATATAGTGAGGCTCTGTTTCTATAAAAAGTTAACAAACTAATAGGCATGGTGGCACATACCTGTGGTCCCAGCTACTTGGTTGGGGGGTAGGGGCGGAGGCGGAGCTGGGATTGGAGGCTGGCTTGAGCCCTGAGGTCAAGGCTACAGTGAGCTGTGATCATGCTACTGTACTCTATCCTGGGCAACAGAGGGAGACTGTGTCTCAAAAATAAAATAAAATAGCCTAGGGATGAGGACATCTGGGTTCTTGAGTCAAAACAGAATAGTGTGTTGAAGGTGGATGAGATTATTTATGCTTCTTCCTCCCTCTCCTCTTCCTTTCTGTTTCTTTCTAGCCCTTTCACAAGTAATTCTGAGAATTTCATATGCGTGGGGTACCATGCTAAGGTTTAAAGGCAGCAGAGTTAGAGTCTCCCAAGAATCAGTGTTCATTGATTCTCCAGTTCTCTAAACCAAAGTGGAGGTTTTTAGCAATCCAAGTTTACAGTGCCTGCCCCGGTCCACAGCATCAGAACATCAAAGGATGGGGTCGAGGACTCTATATTTTTAAAAGTCGCACAGGGATCCTCACAGTAAGCCATGGTAGGAACCACCGCCCTTCTCCACTTCTATTTTCCCAGAAAGCAGTCAGCTGCCCCAACCCTGACAATGAAAGGGCACAGGATTTGAGAGCAGGCAGAGCTTGGTTTCACGAGAGTGCTATGATTTTCTGGTGTGAACCTTCAAAAAATTCGAGTTCGTTACCTCTGAAGTGGAGATGATGATAGCACCCAACTTCTAAAATTTGGGTGGGACCAAATATGATTGTGTATGCCAACATGCTTTCTAAACTACACGGGGCTGTGCCTGTGCCTTCCCTCCTCTCCAGCTCAAAATCTTTCTTCAGGGCTACCAACTGCTTCTCTTTCCCTCAAGCTCTGAGGAGGACGTGTCCTTCCGTCTGTTATGCTCTTACCACTGGGCAGAAGTCCCCATCCCCTTTATACTCAGGGACTCCACCAGCTCCTTTTCCTGTCTCCACACATGTGTAGATCATGTCATCCTTAAGATCTCTTTCCTCAGAACCACTATTCTCTTAAGCTATCATTTTACTTCTCTCCTTTCCTTCTTCAACAGACTTTTGAAAATATAGGATTTCTTTCCTACGCCATTTTATCTCTATCCCTTCATCCCAACTCCTTAATGATTGCAACATGCTGTCTGTACCTTGCACTAAAGCTACTCCCCAAAAGGTAACCAATGGCCACCTACCATTGGCTAACTGACAGGCCTCCTGCAGACTCCCTGCGGTGTTAAGCACCATTGCTCCATCTTCCTAGAGGTGTTCATCCAGTACGACGTGTGGTCTGCGTCACCTTTTCACCACCTGTGGTTTCAGATGACACCTCTATACAGATGCTCTCAGGTCTATGTATGTGGAGTTCCAGTTCTGTATGAATCACTGCTCACTCTGTGTGTCTACCCATTTATTTACCATGAGGCAACTTCCCACTCAACATGCTTGGCTGGAGCTATTCACCCTCTTCTCCTCCTTTTGTGTATTGGTTGGGATGCTTCCGACTGCAGGTAATGGAAGGCCGAACTAAACATAGCTTTAATGATAATAAAATTGCATGCTCTCACATCCCAATAAGTGTGGGAACATACTAGTTTGGGGTCCGGTTGATTCAGTGGCATCAAAGGACCGGGTTGTTTCCATCTGCTTACTTTTCCATCCTGAGGGTATTAAGTTCATTTTTTGGACTGGTTCTCCTTTGGATCCCAAGACCACTGTAACATTTCCAGATGATATGTGAAGGTGCAGCATCAAAAGGCAGGAAAAGGGACTGTTTTTCAAACAGTTCTTTTCAAGAGCTGGGAAAATCCATTCCAGTTGACTTCCAGGATAACTCATGTGTCATTGGATAGAATCTCATCTCATGCCCGGTCTAAAGTGCTCATTGGGAAGGAGACTGGAAAGAGTTTGATTGCCTGGGCCTCAAATCAAGCACTTGGCAGCTCTAGAATGTTCATGAAAAAGAAATGGAGGAGTGAGATGACGCTGAATAGTCAACCAAGTCAACTGCCCATCCTCACCACCCCCTTAAACAACAAGCCCTCCCAGTTTCCCCATCCCTAGTATTGGGGTTCCATAAACCCCATCCCAACCCACACCTACCACCTTTCTCTCTCTTTATTCTAATCGTGCGATGATACTTCCGTTTTCTGATCTCAACACAAAGTACTGTGCCTCTATTCTCATACTGTCCTTTAAACCTGGAATCTGGTACTTTATTTTGCTATGTGCCAACATTTTATCAGAGACTTAAGCTGGCAGGGGAGGGAGTGGGAGGCAGGCATCACAGCTGGGGCAACCTCTTTTGTATCTCCACTGTACACTGGACATCTTTCAAGCCTCACTCCATTGCACTCTGTGCGATTGTTACTGTTGGACTGTGTTTCCTTTGAGGGCAGAAAACCTGCTGATTAACTTCTATATGCCCGGTGCTTCGCATAGTGGCAGCGTGTAATAGGTTTCAATGAGTGTAGGTCAGATCAAAGAATGAGTAAACTGTTTAATAGAGATAGTTATACCTGATGAAATTATGCCTCTGTGATTGTAGTCAGCCCACTCCCCATCCCCAATACAGATACAGAGTTCTTCCCTGATGCTTCAAAGGCCATTGAAATCACTGGGCCCAGGGAAGATGCCTGGGTTTTCCAAAGTCCATCTTAGGAACAGAATAGTATTTGGACAAGATATATTTGGAAAGAAGCTTATAAGTGAAATACAGACCAGAAGGTACCCTGGTAAGGTTATATTTATCCTCCACAAAGTTCACACTCATCATATTCTCTGAGGTCAGAATCCTTAAGAAAACTCTACCAACTGCTACAGTCCATGACATAAGCCACAGAGTATCTTAAGCATAAAGGGAACCTATAAGAATGAGTGGATTTTTTCCCAAGCAGCATTAACATTAATGATACAATTTTGGGTGCTTCAGAAGAGCAGTGCCTTGATGTAGGGCTGGACTCCGTCCAAGTGTCTGGGAAAGGTGCCTGCAGAATGCACGTGTCCCTGTGGCTCATTACTGCCTAAGGCTGAACCCGTAAGTGGAACGCGGGCTCTTGGGCTCCTGGCAGGGATAGGTTGGAATGTGAAGCAGGGTAGAAGTCCCTCGGTAGCCCAGCAGGTACCTTGGGGAGCAGTCTGCCCTTATTTATTCAGTGAGATTGATCAGAGCTCTTTCAGGCCAGGCTGGAAGCACCTGGGAGGCCCCCCTGCCCTGGTGTGGCTACCTTCGGTTTGCACACTGTCCCCAGTCCAGCCAGCCATGGCTGCTGTGACAGGGCTGTTAGTACTAATAAAGCAATTGCAGCAGCTTATATAAGAAAAAACTGCTGGGACCACTTTGTCTTTAAAGTCGGCTGCCCCCTTGGTGGGTACTTGAAGGTTTACACCATACTGCCTCCCCCAGCTTTCCAGCACACTGTTTGGCTAATATGGGTCAGAAAATCTGAGAACCAGTCAGGCGGCAACCAAACAAGTCTATAGGCAGGGAATTTTGTCTTCAGACAGCCTTCCCACACCTGCCATTTCTGTACTCTTTATCTCTCCTGAAACGCCGTCTCTCCTCCCCACCGAGACAGATACTCTCCTGTCTCACCCAGCCAGCGCATTGCCGTCAGTGCAGGACCTGATCTTTGTCATCACGCCTGAATGTGAATTGAAGCCCCCCATTACATCTCCCAGGAATAAATACTTGCCAATTAAACCTGCTGCTACTAGTGGTATGAAAGACCTTGTTCCCTGTTCGGGTTTCAAGCCTCAGTGCGTAGACATACTCTATACGCACATGCGCATACATGCGCGCACACGTACACACCTGCAACATTTAAACTTGGGAGTTGTACAGTATTTGATCCTCACAACACTGCCCTAAGACAGAAGCAATATTCTTGGCATCCTCATTTTACAAGAAAAGAAACCGGGGTTCAGAAAGGCCAAGGAATCTGTATGAGTCACAGAGGGAATCCAGCCAAGATTTCTACAATTCCAGACTTGGCATTTCATAATTTTGCAACTTTGAGTGGGGATGACCCTACTGGGAAGACAGTCCTATAGCCAGGGGATGGTAGATGTCTCCACCTCTTCAACCTGAAGCCAGGATCCTCCAAGTGACAAATCTGCATATGACCTTATCCTCCTCTGTGCCAGGTCTGGTATCTCACAAAGATACTACTAATCACGGTGGCCAGACAGTTCTAAATGATTTTTTTCTCACTAAACCAGCCAATCTCTTAACCTTTTAGGGTAAAGGAGTTTCTCTTGCCCCTTTATATCCTTTGGCTTTTCAACATCAGAATTCGATATTCTCACTTGCCTCCAGTTTAAAAGACCCTCTTACTGCCTTTGTCCTCTTTGTGCAGCCTCCCCAGAGACCAGGTGAGGCAGGGGTGTGGATAGGAGCATCTGCCATCATCACTGGGCATGAGTAATTTGTGCTTGCAAATTGCTGGAGACAACTGGGAAAGGCAAAGAAAAAGTCCTTTTGGAAGCAGAAACAACTGGAGAAATATTGCGCTCTGTGAAACAGATAAGCAGAAGAGCTGTTTATTCCCTCGGTGGCGTGAGGCTCGGCTTTGAGGCAGATAAATCTTTGCTGGTAATACAGTACTTAAACCAGAACTGACACCTTTTTATATCAACTGCAGAGAATTGCTTTTGTGAGGCTCTGATACAAAGGCTGCCGCGGCTGTCTCTTGCATATCAATTGCTTGGTAGCCTGTTGCTTTTCTCAGTCCCGCCCTTTAAGCAGTTGCCCCTGGTCTCAATGTGGCATCAATGTCTGAAAACTACAGGGAAGGAGGGATACCAAAAGGTAAGGGACCACTAACGGGAGCAGGCAGGCATTGGATGGAGTTAAGGTGTAAGTCTGTCGCAGGGATCCTCCTCTGGGCGCCCCTCCGAGCAGGAGTGTGTTGGAGTCAGCCGGCATAGCTGAGCAGATGGGACTCAGTACAGCCACTGTACACACAGCCTTTGCCAGGCACCAGGGCCCGAGGCAAATGGGCTGATTTTCAAGTTTGTTCTTTAATCGACCATTAAAATATACTCACTGCAGATGAGTTAGATAACACCGATAAGCAAAGAGGACATAAGAACTGCTTGTAGCTTTGTCTATCCTTCCCAGGGCAAATAGATATAATATATAGAGACATACACATTTTTTGAGACAGATCACCCAGGCTGGAGTGCAGTGGTACAAATACGGCTCACGGCCACCTCCACTTCCTGGGATCAAGCAATCCTCCTGCCTCAGTTTCCCATGTAACCGTGACTACAGGTGTGTGCCACCATGCCTGGCTAATTTTTAAAAATTTTTTGTAGAGATGAGATCTCACTTTGTTGCCCAGGCTGGTCTTGAACACCTGGGCTCAAGCAATCCTCCTGCCTTAGCCTCCCAAAATGCTGGGATTACAGGCATGAGACACTGTGCCTGGCATCATATACATTTTCAATGAAAATAAAATTGTACTGTTATGGACTGAACGTTTGCGTCCCTCCAAATTCCTAAGTTGAATTCTGCAACCCCCAGTGTGACTGAGTTTGGAGACAGGGCCTTTATGAGTGTAATCAAGGTTATATGAGGTCACAAGGATGGAGCTCTGATGTGATAGGATTGGTGTCCTGTTAGGAGGAGACACCAGATCTCTCTCTCTCTCTCTCTCTCTCTCTCTCTCTCTCTCTCTCTCTCTCTCTCTCCTTTTGATACAGAGTCTCACTTTGTTGACCAGGTTAAAATGCAGTGGCACAATCTCGGCTCACTACAGCCTCTGCCTCCTGGGTTCAAGCAATTCTCTTTTCTCTTGCCTCAGCCTCCTGATTAGCTAGGATTGCCTGCGTGCGCCACCACACCCAGCTAATTTTTTATTTTTAGTAGAAATGGGGTTTCAACATGTTGGCCAGCTGGTCCCAAACTCCTGACTTCAGGTGATTTACCCACCTCTGCCTCCCAAGGTGCTGGGATTATAGGTGTGAGCCACTGCACCTGGCCCTCTCTCTCTCACTTTCTGTCTCCACCATGTGGAGAAACCAACGAGAAGGGGACCATCTATAAGCTAGGAAGAAAGCCCTTACCAGCAACTGAATAGCTGGCCCCTTGATCTGGGACCTCTATGCCTTCTAAATGGTGAGAAGTGAACATCTATAGTTTAAGCCCCCCAGGCTATGGTGTCTGTTGCAGGCAGCCCAAGCTGACTAATACACATTCTACATAGAATTCTACTTTTGCTACCATTTCTACTTTCATGTATCATACATGTCTCTCTAGCATGCATACTTCATCATGCTGTTTCTGTACTCACAAATCTCTGACTCTGAGCTTTCTGCTTCTCTGCTTAGCTAGAGGCCTTACTTCATCTTTCCCTCTCCACCTAACTCAGCTCTCCACTGGAGGTGACGTGGAATCTGCAGACACGATACTGGCCTGGCCAGTTATTAGTTCTGTGACTTTGCCAAGTTAATCTTACTGAGACTCAGTCTCCTCACTTTTGAAACAGGCTAATAATTTTGACATTATATGAATAAGGTGCAGATTAAATAGGACAAGACTTACCAGCACAGTGGCTGGGAAATAGAAGTTCAGTTTTTTTAAAATGGTGACTTTCTGGCCTCCAGAATGTCCTCTCTGCACTGGTGTCTTTAGCATCCTGTGACCCACCATGCTGGGCCTCATCTGGGGTCCCTGGCTGGCTAAGACCTGGTCTGGCCCATTCCTCCTTCCCCAATATGTTTGCAGTGCACCTTCCTTTGTCCCCTGGGCTTGTTTTTCCCCGGCCACTGCTGTCCTTGCTGCCCTCCAGAGCTCTTCAGCCTCCAAGGCTATTGAACAGACAGAGACCCTGTTTTTACATATTTCTTACAGTTCCTTAAACAAATTCACAGGACCTTTGGATCTTGACAGTTCACTGCCAATTGTTGTAGGGTAGCTGGAAGTAGGTGACAATAGTGTCCCACACGAAGGGGGACATTTTGCTTTTAAAGACATGGGTCTGGGCTTGACTAGATCGAGATCCTTACCTGACCCTTTTTTTTTTTCTGTGGCCTTTAGGAAAGATCTCTGTGGCCATTGTCCTGGGAATCGATGTTAGTCTTTCCCAGCCCAGATTATGGCACCTATCCCATTCCTAACCTCTATGCCTTCTTCTGAAGCACTAGCTTATTCCTAGGATAATGTACCACTTGTAGCACAGAACCTGTAGCTGTGGGTTCTTGGCTAAGCTGGAAACCCACATCCCTGCCAATCCATAGCTTCCTTCCCAAGCAGCTGCCACCACACAATGGAATTAACATAAAACACAACTCGGCAGAGCACATTTAATTTACAGTGATTATACTATCTATTATACAACACAATTTTAAGTACTGCAAGTTCCCCGGAGAACAGGAGGAGAAAAAACACACACACACACACACATGTGAAAAGAACCCAACCCTCTCCAAAATCACATAATGACAGAAGAATCTCAGTAACAAAATACAATTCATGGCATAATAAATAGTGTATTTTAAAGTACTTAACATTTCTCAATTCTCTATTTCATGCCCATCAGGAACTCAGTTTATTTCTAGTGGAGGGAAAAAAAACATATATATATGTATCAACAATTTTAAATTCTGAGAGACAATTAGAGCCCAATGGGGGCTTTTAGAGGAGAATATTCCAGGATGAATATTGGGCAGTTTCCAACCAGATGGAATAACTCACCAGTGCTCAGTCAGCAGAGACCTGGGCACCATGTCCTTGCCCTGAGAGAGCTCTGACCCTCAGAAAGACAGAGCTGCACACTTCCTGGGTCCTGACCTCCAACTTCCAGGTCACGAAGCAGGAGCTCATGCTGTCAGTCCCTCCACACTCTCAGGCCTCCTCTGTGTGAGGGAGTCAATAGGGATGACACAAACAACAGGAGCTCTGGTGCTGGTGCAGTCCTGATTCTACTTCTCACTAACCCTGGGACCACAGTGGCCCTCTGTTATCTCATCTGTAGAATGAGCATAACACTAGCCACCTCAGAGTTGCTATGAGAATTTGAAGAGATTTCATAAAATAGCTAGTCAAGTGCATAGCGTATAACAGGTGCTTAGTCACTTTTTAATGCCTTCCTGTTTTCCACTCTCTTCCCTTCTAAAGTAAATGGAGAGGCAACGCCTTTCCCAGAGGAATGGGCCATGAAAAGGGGGCTGCCGGGTACCTCTGGGAGGACCTTAGAGACAAGAGGATCTCTTAGGCAACTTTCAACAGCCCCTGTACCTTGAAGGCACTCTTCAGCCTGGAGGTATATGGACACCTGACCCCACCTGGAAGCAGGAGATTAGATTGAGTGGCCTCTGGAATGGAAAAGTTGCACCCCCCAACCTATGGGGCTACAACCAGTAGGAGTGTTAGGTGTATAAGCAGTATGGTGGGTCAGCCTTAACTGAGAGGGCAGAACAGACTGCAGTGAGGGCACCAAGGAAGGAGTCACCGGCCCCCTAGCTCCCAAAGGTGGCAATGTGTGGTCTGTGTGTGTAAGTTACAGACAGTCACATCTGAACTCCACTCCTCCCAGCACACGTCACAAGGACAACGTGTCATTCCAGGCCTCAAGGAAGGGAGGAGTTTCCACCCCTCTTCATAGCTTGTTTAGCGCACTTCATTGCCAAGATAACCTTTATTTCTCTCAATGCCACACTTACGGACCAGGGCCCTGTGCTGCCGTAGCACACCTCAGGCCAGACACAAAGTCAATGCAAAGAAGAACAGGACTCTACCTTTCCTTTGTGGAGTGCACATACCAGAAAATGTGCAGGAGTTTCAAACACTGCAGAGGAAGGCGTGTGCCCTCAGAGAGCTGGAGGTAAACTGAGACATGGGCAAAAGCAGGAGCTCCTGTGCCTCTGATTCCAAGCTTTCTGTTTTTCTGCTTAGCTAGAGACCTTTCTTCATCTTTCTCTCTCCACCGAACTCAGCTTTCCGGTGGAGGTAACATGGCATCTGGAGACACGATGTTGGCCTGGCCAGTTATTAGTTCTGTGACTTTGCCAAGTTAATCTTACTGAGACTCAGTCTCCTCACTTTTAAAACAGGCTAATAATTTTGACATTATATGAATAAGGTGCAGATTAAATAGGACAAGACTTGATGTGGAGTGGGGACATTTCAGCTGAATGAGTTAGGTCAGTGTGGGGTTGCTGCAGGCAGAGGTGTGCCTAGCCCTAATTATCATGCTGTACTTTACACTGATTTTCTCAGGGCCACACTTTAGGGGGGATCCAGACCTTTTCATCATTCTCTGTGGGATGTAAGCTTAATGAGAGTAGAAAGTTGCTTGATCCATAATGACTCTTTTCTGTATTATGTGAGAGAAGCAGGTATCAATCAGTGCACACTTATTCACTATGCACTTTATATGTGCCCAGTGCCTGGAGGGCTGAGCTCTGTAGGGGATCCAACATGATTACTGACAGGTCCAGTAATTAACAGTTTTCGGAACATTTTAGTTCATAGTTTATTATGCAATCCTCATAACCCATAAGGTCAGGCAAAATCTAGATATTAATATGAATATAATCTTACATATTATTTTAATCTTCCTTACTATAACCTTCATTTTACAGAATAATCCATGAGCCACATTAACTGGTAATGTCCTGAAGCCAGGTCTTTGGATTCTAATTCCTGTGCTTTTTGCACAATTCTATTCTGCCTCTTACAAATACATGCGAGCAGAGGTGTGCTGTTTGAAGATTATTGCTGAAATATCTAAAACGGTATGTAATGTGAATTCAAAAAGTCTTGCTGACCCCTGGGTTGCATGTATAAATGAAAGAGGAAATAAATCATCCTTTCTGCTATGAAAGCACCAAACTCCAAATATTTACTCATCTTAATGAAGTGCCAGCACAGTCTTGTAGGTTAACCTTCTTATTGGCCAAACTTTACCCCTCTTTTTCTCTGTTCCTTCTTTTCCTCCATTGTTTGTTACAGAGTTACGTAAGAGTTAAACTTGGCCCCTTATCTTTGATTCTTTCCTTCCTTCCCTCCCTCCCTCTCCCTCCCTCCCTCCCTCCCTCCCTCCCTCCCTCCTCCCTCCCTCTCTCCCTCCCTCTCTCCCTCCCTCTCTCTCTGATTCTTTCCCTCCCTCCCTCCCTCCCTCCCTCCCTTCCTTCCTTCCTTCCTTCCTTTTCTTTTTTCTTTCCTTTTCTTTTTCTTTTCTTTTCTCTCTCTTTCTCTTCTTTCTTTTTCTTTCTTCTTGATTTCTTCCTTTCTCTGTCCTTCTTTCCTTCCTTCCTTCCTTCCCTCCCTCCCTCCTTCCTTCCCTCCCTCCCTCCTTCCTTCCCTCCCTCCGTCCTTTCCTCCCTCCTTCCTTCCCTCCCTCCTTCCTTCCCTCCCTCCTTCCTTCCCTCCCTCCTTCCTTCCCTCCCTCCTTCCTTCCCTTTCTCTCTCTCTCTTTCTCTCTTCTTGATTTCTTTCTTCCCTCCCCTCTCCTCTCCTTTCGCCTTCCTCTCTCCCTCCCTCCCTCCCTCCCTTCCTTCCTTCCTTCCTTTTCTTTTTTCTTTCCTTTTCTTTTTCTTTTCTTTTCTCTCTCTTTCTCTTCTTTCTTTTTCTTTCTTCTTGATTTCTTCCTTTCTCTGTCCCTCTTTCCTTCCTTCCTTCCCTCCTTCCCTCCCTCCTTCCTTCCTTCCCTCCCTCCTTCCTTCCTTCCCTCCCTCCTTCCTTCCTTCCCTTTCTCTCTCTCTCTTTCTCTCTTCTTGATTTCTTTCTCCCCTCCCCTCTCCTCTCCTTTCACCTTCCTTCCCTCCTTCCTTCCTTCCTTCCTTCCTTCCTTCCTTCCTTCCTTCCTTCCTTCCTTCCTTCCTCTTTCTTCCTTCCTTTTTGAAACAGAGTCTGTGTCACCCTGGCTGGTTTTTTTCTTTGTTTCTTTTGATTGGATTCCTTTCTGTCCCACCAATTGCTACCCTTACACACCTAATAGAATTATTCTCAGGGCATGTCTGGGTATGAGTCTGGAGATGGGGCCAGATTACGAAGATTATAATCCATGTCACTGTTGTGGGGGCAAACTGGAATAGACTGCATTTAAAAGTATGCCATTTGGCTTTGTATAATAACAATGACACTTTTCTGGAATTTTCTTCAGAGTGAGCAGGAAAAAACCCAACAACTATCAATCATCTCACCTGCATTGAGCACAAAGTCCCACCCTATGGATTTCTCAGAACTTGGCTGGCCACTCTGGCTGTGGGGTCAATGCTGGGATTTGGGTCCCTAGTCTCCAGGAACCTGTTGGTAGAATACAGGTCTGGAGTGGATGAGACAGGATTGGTTAGTGGACATGAGGCTGGAGAGAATGGGAATATTCGAAAGATTTCAAATGAAAAATGAAGTATTGTACTCTAACTTGTTGACAATTTCTACCTAGGAAATGAGAAGACTTCAATGTGTAAAGCCCATTGGGGTATCTGAACCACTTACCTTAATCATCTGGCAGGACCTGATTTAGCTTCATGGTCTTCCATTTTCATATTTACATGTGCCTGGTATACCTTAGGGATTCAGTAAATGTTGAAAGTTAAAACAGGAAGAAAGAAAAGAAGGAAGGGAGGGAAGGTAGAAGGGACAGAGGGAGGGAGGAAGGAAAAAAGGGAGGGAGGAAGGGAGGAAAGGAAGGAAGGGAAGGTCATTTCATGAAGACTTAGAGATGTCATGTTAGGGTAAGAACATTAGGAGATCTGCTAAAGTAGTGCCCAAAGAAAAGAAAGCCTTACAGAGGAGGACGGCATATCACATTTTTTTTTTTTTTTTAAAGCACAAATGCTAAAAGGGGACCAGGGACAAGAAAAGCCCTTTGGAGAGGAGATTGGTACAGAAGAGTGGTGCAGATGTCTGCCTGGTCTTTACATAAGAAATGCAAAGGTTGAAAAGGAAAATGAAGAGAAAGGAGAGAGAAACTAAAAGAAATAGAGAATGAGCAGATGAAAAGAAAAGGAAGATGAAGAAAGGGATGTTGAAGAAGAGATAGGTGGTAAGAGAAAAGACATATGGGGAAATCAAGGACAAAAAGAAAAGTAGGGGGAGAGAAAACATGGTTCCATTCTAACAATATTGTCACTGCAGGCGTGAGGGTGTTGTCAGAGAAGAGGAGGGGGTCCAGGCCATTGTGCAACTATTATTATATAATTAAGTCTAATAACAGTAATTCTCTGGGAGAGGTCATTGCCTGCCTTATGGATGGAATCTGATTTGATGAGACTGTCTCTTCTTGTATTCATGCTGTCTGTCGGGGGCCAGGGTGGTGGGGAGCCCGTTAGGAAAAATGAAAGGAATAGAGGGTGAGTCGACTTGTTCCCCCTCCAGCTTTCCTGAATAGAGGCTGCTCCAGATTCAACTGCATTCGATTATTCCCATTTATAATTTTTCCAGTCACAGCCTTGTCTCTCCATTAATTATGGCGATTAGCTTGAACTATTGTTGATGCTAATTAGACTTTGAGAAACGTGTTTGGGCTGCTCATTGGTCGGCATTCAGAAGGGGAGAAGTGAGTGGGGGGGAAGTGGGGGAAGTGCCAGGCTTCATCTGTCCAGACTAGGCAGACACAGTGGTGAGAGCTGCACTAGCTCAGCCACAGAAGGAAGGAAGATTCCTGGCAGTGACCGTCTTTCCCTGGGCTGCCAATCTGCATCCGTCCTAACTTTGCTTACAGTTTACTCCTCTCCCCTCATTTTCCCCTACACCCTGTACACAGTTGTAATGGGACAAGAAAGGCTTACTCAAGGTTGGCCTCTTGCCAGCTCTAAGCTGTTGGATTCTTGCCATTTCTTTGGACTCTGAGTTCATAATTGGAAAGACAGAAAGGGACAGTAAGAGGAATAGAAACTTATAGATTATGGTGGAAGAGGGAGATAATCACTGAAAGGATGATTTAGGAAATGTAATTTATTGAGCATCTATATGAC